CACATACAAACTTTTTAAAAACAATTTTTTAATTTATGTACTTATTTATGAAAAATTCGTTTCCAATTTGGCATTCAGTTGACATCAATATCACGAATAGAATTCAATGGTAAAACATAGTAGGGAAGAGAAAACGTGCTTCAACTTCAAGTATAGATTAAAATCTTTTAAAGCAGTTTTCATTACAGTATTTGCTTTTATTATACCCTACTCTCAAAATAGTTCAAAATAAAATATTTAGAAGTCAAATCAATGAGAACGCTTTAAGCACATTGCAAAAAATGGAAGCACATTTTTGTCAAAAAAGTGATTTTTGTCATTATCAGTCAACCTGTAGCTCGAAACGGTCAGGAGCGACTTTTGGTACCTTTCTCTGTCCCTGTGGTTTTAAGCACCCTGCATAATTTAACAAAATTTGCTCATTTTTTGCATAATTTCTGATTATTTTCCTTTATAATTTTTTGTTAAAAATTAACAGAATTGCATAATTTCACATTTTTGGGCTCAGTTTGCATAATTTCAGAATTGTTCTTGCTTAAAACGACGGGGACAGCTTTCTCTAGGCACACACGCAAATTATCAAATAGACAGGACAAATAATCTTTCAAGACACTAAAAAATTTAAATTATGATTTTAAAAAAGGTGAGAAACAAAGTAATTTTATTGAATTTAAGTGTCAATGGAAACACAGTACTTTTATTGAATTCAAGTGTCAATGGAAACAAAGTACTTTTATTGAATTTAAGTGTCAATGGAAACAAAGTACTTTTATTGAATTTAAGTGTCAATGGAAACAAAGTACTTTTATTGAATTTAAGTGTCAATGGAAACAAAGTACTTTTATTGAATTTAAGTGTCAATGGAAACAAAGTACTTTATTGAATTTAAGTGTCAATGGAAACACAGTACTTTTATTCAAGTGTCAATGGAAACACAGTACTTTTATTCAAGTGTCAATGGAAACACAGTAATTTTATTCAAGTGTCAATGGAAACACAGTACTTTTATTCAAGTGTCAATGGAAACACAGTACTTTTATTCAAGTGTCAATGGAAACACAGTACTTTTATTCAAGTGTCAATGGAAACACAGTACTTTTATTCAAGTGTCAATGGAAACACAGTACTTTTATTCAAGTGTCAATGGAAACACAGTACTTTTATTCAAGTGTCAATGGAAACACAGTAATTTTATTCAAGTGTCAATGGAAACACAGTACTTTTATTCAAGTGTCAATGGAAACACAGTACTTTTATTCAAGTGTCAATGGAAACACAGTACTTTTATTCAAGTGTCAATGGAAACACAGTACTTTTATTCAAGTGTCAATGGAAACACAGTAATTTTATTCAATTTAAGTGTCAATGGAAACACAGTACTTTTATTCAATTTAAGTGTCAATGAGTCACAACAACTGCATGATTCTAGTAGTGTCAAAAATAGCTTTATGTGTAATGTAATGTAAGGGTGAACAGGAATGGCCTGTGCATAGCGAACAAAAGAGAGTCCATGACAGCTTAATCTGATTGCTAACAATTTGTCGAAGTCAATGAATAATCAAATATGAGGCATCGTGGAGAAATCAGGTGCTCGTCAAAATAATAAAAGTTTGGAATTTTGTTTTCAATTTTTGTTTTTTTGGCTCAACACCTTGTACATGCATGTCCATTCAAAAACACTTTTACGCGTGGGTTTTATGGAAAAATGTACATTAAAGGCACACAAAATTTTACTTTGCAGTTTCCAAGGACTCCTAAGCTATGGAGGAAGTCACCAAATCATTTTCTTTCCTGTTTTTCACAAAGTGGAACCCCCAATGCCAATAGCTCATCATTGTGCTGAGAACACACCAACAGATACACATACGTACTTACATACGCGCACAAACACACACACACACACAGACAGAGAAAGAATGAGAGATATTATTTCTCTCATTCTTTCTCTGTGAGTGGGTGCCTCACTATCTGCATCATATTTTCATATACAGAGAGTGAGGCACACACACAGACAGAGAGAGTGAGAGATATACAGAGAGAGAGAGAGAGAGAGAAACACACACACACACACACACACAGACAGAGAAAGAATGAGAGATATACAGAGAGTGAGGCACACATACACACACACACACACACACACACACACACAGACAGAGAGAGTGAGAGACATACAGAGAGAGAGAGAGAGAGAGTAATACACACACACACACACAGACAGAGAAAGAATGAGAGATATACAGAGAGTGAGGCACACATATACACACACACACACACACAGAGTGAGAGACATACAGAGAGAGAGAGTAATACACACACACACACATACAACATGTAGAAGAATAAGTCCAAGTCTCAAAATAAATGAAGAAAATACAAATTTATTAAGTAATTCAGGCATATATATATTTTATAATATATATATTATACATGTATACTGACAGCTTGGGTTTAACTGCAGATTGATTATGATTATGAGATACAGAAAAGGACCTTAAATTGATTCTAGATCTATGTGTACTGCGGTGAAGGAAGGTGGATGGGGGGGGGGGGGGGGGAGGGGGTTTTTTTTTACAAAAAAAAAAGGTTTGAAAGATTGAAAAATATCTATCTATCTATCTATATATATATTGGTAACCGCATGATTCAACTTGCTAAACAGTAAAATTTTTAAAAAATCTCTTTTTGACCCCTTTTTGGGGTACAACCTTTGATACACTTTATATTAAAAACCCGAGTTTGAAAAAAAACTGCAAAGGGGTTTAATCCTTCAGTAAAACAATCGCCCATATCACACCAGTCCCCAATTTCCTCGGGAATCCAACCCCCAAGTACCAGG